TTCAAGTAAATTTAGCATCGGATGATGACAAAAAAAGAATAGTAGGGACAGTCAGTCCTATTTATTTTTTAATCGCGATTAGCATCTCATTCTTTTTTTATTAACAAAATATGATTTATTCATGCAATAATGTAGCATTGGATGAAAAAGATGACAAGAAAAGAATCACATGATCGACAAAAACATTGATTCGTCCAATTTATTTTAATTAATTTGCTGATCTATTACCATATAAATAATTGAAAGATGATTAATATAGTGATCGCATACGTAAATTAACTGATTACTTAATTTTTTTAATCTAATTATTTACAATATATCTGTTAGATATTTCACATAATCCTTATTCTAATCCTCCTGACTTAGTAAGCCAATCAGGACGTGCCATGTATGCATAATTAATTTAGTTTTTTAAATGGATCCAAGAAGTAAGCACATCTGCTTAGGTATTAATTGTGCTGCGATGTAAACCCTAGAAAACAATCAAGCATGAATATCAAAGCCGAAAAATAAAGAATACTGAGAATTATTTATGAAGAAAAAACTTTTGAAGAATTCTTTAAGAAAAAAACCTCTAGGCACACGTGCCACTAAATAGTCTACTAGAAAATATAAAACTTACAAAATTAATCTAGATACAACTAAACATTCGAAGACAGAACCCCCACCTGTAATCACCGAAGAACTCGATTGTGTGTTCTAACACCAGCTACTGAACCTTTGGACTTCTTTTTGCCTCGTGGATGACTAATGGCTCAACATACAATAGGGACGGATTTTTCATCGGGTACTTATAGTATAGAGAATTATGAGTTGTTTGAGATTGTGAAAAGGCTTAAAATCACGAACTATTGTTTCCTCAAATCACACGTTCATTGGACAGTCCCTTGGGCTGCCTCAGCAGTTAGCCTCTGCTAAAATTGCTCGAGTGTGCCTCTTGGCAGACTTTGAGCATGTTTGGACTTCGATTAATCTTTTTGAACAACTTTAAATCATTCAAAAGATGCTCCCAATATCCGATAATTTAACCCTAAATACAACTGGATTAAACGACATTTTGGACACAGAACTTTACCAATACACTTTAGACCTAACAATGGATGATGAAGGAAACCTAATTACTATTGCAAATTAAACACTACTATTATAGCTAAATTTAATCTCGTTTTACACAAGTAATAATTACATCTCACAGTCCAATTAAAACATGTCAATTCCTGACCAGTGGCTTAGGATGTGGAAGCTAGCGAGTTACTGGCCTCACTAGAATCTCTAAGATATTTTTTTTCGTAAGATTTTTTTTTTTTTTTTATGTTGTTATATTTTGTGTTTGAAAATATTTAATGTCGCTATATTCTGCCCCACTGGTTCGGAATCTTCTCGTTGCCTTGAATCCAAACCCTAGAAAGTACCAGCAAAATTTTCAACAAAATTGTGGCAGAACGAATAAAAAATACTTTATGTAAAAAAAAATTATTAAAAGTGCGGTTATTTATGTTTTAATTGTGACCATAACAGTAAATAAAAAATATTTAAAAATATGATGAATCAAACAAAAAACATGGTAGTAATATAATTAACCTTAAAAATGAAATTTAAAGTATTTATAAATGTAATACACAGAGTGTTATTTGTAATTTCAAATTTCAAACTCTTTTAAGCTATTTATAGCGGCATATTTGTAGTTCCTTTTTTTTTCTTGACTTAACTCAACGGTGTATGTGGTTTGTTTCCATTTAATGAACGATAGTATGTAAAAATGTAATTTATCTGATAGATATTTCATATTTCACATAATTTTTATTCTAATTCTCCTGACTTAGTAAGACTATTCACTACCCACAATATTCCTGCACAGCTCACATGGACGTGTCATGTGTGCTATTTAAATTTGTTGAACTTCAATTCCGACAAAATCAAAATGTCAACAAATCTCAACTCTTCTTCCATCCATGTCTACGTATGTTACCTACACAATTAAATACCGACGTTAAACTACAAATGACTATATCGCCAGCAGGATGTAACAGTGCAAGCACTCCGACGATCAAGTCAGATCGTAATGAATATTTGGACGTGGAAGAGAGAATGAACGAAAATGCATGTGCTAGGTTGAAGAGAGAATTACCAATATTGCAATTCTAAGTCTTGATTATCTTTCAATGTCACTGGGTGTGAGTATTTATAGTCAAGAGAGATGGCTATTGTGTCAACTGTCTATTGTGTCAATCCATAGCCATCATATGTCCGTGGCCACCCTTGCCCAAACATAGGTAGAAAAGTTCTGATTGAGAAGCTTTGCTACACAACTGTCACGTCAATCAATCGGTGCATTGTGCGACTCACTTGGTTGAGACAAGGCTTGTGTTAGTTTTTTTTTTTTTTTTATGTTGTTATATTTGTTTGAAAATATTTACTGTAGCTAAATTCTGCCCCACTGGTTCGGAATCTTCTCGTTGCCTTGAATCCAAACCCTAGAAAGTACCAGCAAAATTTTCAACAAAATTGTGGCAGAACGAATAAAAAATACTTTTATGTAAAGAAATTATTAAAAGTACGGTTATTTATGTTTTAATTGTGACCATAACAGTAAATAAAAAATATTTAAAAATGTGATGAATCAAACAAAAAACATGGTAGTAATATAATTAACCTTAAAATGAAATTTAAAGTATTTATAAATGTAATACACAGAGTGTTATTTGTAATTTCAAATTTCAGATTCTTTTAAGCATTTATAAATGTGATGTACACAGAATGATTTAAAATTTTTGAATTGCACTTAATTTACTGATCTATATCCAAAAAAATAAGTAAATAGTGATTAATATATTGATTGCATACGTGAATTACAGATCAGTTGATTCTTTTTATCTTGTTATTTTCAATTTATCTGATAGATATTTCATATTTCACATAATTTTTATTCTAATCCTCCTGACTTAGTAAGACAATTCACTACCCACAATATTCCTGCACAGCTCACATGGACGTGTCATGTGTGCTATTTAAATTTGTTGAACTTCAATTCCGACAAAATCGAAATGTCAACAAATCTCAACTCTTCTTCCGTCCATGTCTACGTATGTTACTTGCACAATTAAATACCGACGTTAAACTACAAGTGACTATAGTGCCAGTAGGATGTGACAGTGCAAGCACTCCGACGATCAAGTCAGATCGTGATGAATATTTGGACGTGGAAGAGAGAATGAACGAAAACGCATGTGCCAGGTTGAAAAGAGAATTACCAAGATAGAGATGGCTATTGTATCAAATGTCTATCATGTCAATCCATAGTTGCCATATGTCTGTGGCCTCCCTAGCCCGAATATAGGTAGAAAAGTTGTGATTGAGAAGCATTGATGCATAGTTGTCACATCAATCAATTAGTGCATTGTGCAACAGATTTGGTTGAGACAAGGCTTGTGTTAGNAACAGATTTGGTTGAGACAAGGCTTGTGTTAGAGACCCATCATAGAAGATGGTATTTACCTCAAAATAGTACTTCAGCAAAAACATGACGCCTTCCCTCGGATAATAACATTCCAAGTGAAGTGTCTAAAGGCATGGCATAATCGCCTCGAGGGCGCGTGGAAAAGGCGATGTCAAAGTGTAATGCTCGTATTGAGTGACATTTTTCTTTGCTTCTTGTTTAGCGGTCTATCACGTGACGTGTCTTGTAGGTTGAAATTAATTTTTTTAAATAGATCCAACAAGTAAGCACATCTGTTAATGCATTTGTTACCAATGATGGACACACCATCGAGTCTCGTTTATGATGAGAGTTGATGGATCAAAACTCATTAATTCAATTAATTATTGATACTGATTCATAATTTAATTCTTATTAATTCTACACGAATGTTGAGAAATGATGATAATCAAGAATTTGGTGGTTCTCACTAAATAGTAGAAAAATAGTTGAGAAAATCTGGAGAATTTTATTGTATATTAAAATAGGTTTGACATATTTATTTATAGAGAAAATATGGCGGAATTTTGCATGACAGATAACTAGAAAAATACTGTACCAGACGTATGTTGACAAGGAATAAGGCGAATTTAGTATAGTTATTTTATGTGTCTTTATACTCGGTCTTTGGATGATGTAAATTTTATGTTTCTTTTATATTGTCTAGTCTTATTTTTGTTATTAATTTTAATGAAAATAGGCCACATAAGTGGTTTAAATTAAGGGTGATGAAGGAGATCTAATTACTCTTGTAAATTAAACACTATTGGTATAATAGAATAACGTTACTTGTGCATAACGAAGTTATATAATGATTTACATACAGATGAGGTGCCAAAAAAAAAGAGTAAATGAGTTTTTTTTTTCTTTTTTAATTTGGTTGAAGAAGTTGTGATCAAATCATATTTCACCTCAGTATGTAAAGCCACAAACCCCATTTTACTCGTGAAAAAATCAATCGCACAGTCTAATTAAGTTTAACCCCTTTTTACTCGAGAAAAAAACAAGTCAATTCCTGATCATTGGCAGAGATGGGAGCTAGAATCGTATATTATTATTCCTACGATATTTTTATTTTTAAGTTTATTATATATTTTGTGTTGGAAATTTTTTACCGTAGCTAAATTCCGCCCCTATTGGTTCGTAATCTTTGCTCGGAACCTAACTTAAACAAAAAAAAAAAATCAAAATAAGAATAAAAAACTTGATATTTATTTTCTTGGATTAATAATCAAGAGGACCCGAGGTAAACACAAAAATAAAAGAAAAAATAAACAAAGTAATAGGCTACTAATCCAGAGGTGATTAGCAATGGTTCTCTATATATACATATTAATGTGAAGATAAGTTGATATCTAAGAAGAAATCTGCAGTTATGGCAGAAGATTTCTCCTCTCTCATTTTGATCACCTTTTTCTCCTTCCTATTATTATTCAAAGTTATTACTCATTTCATCAAATCAAAAGAAAAAAAGGTTTTAAATCTTCCTCCGGGCAACTATGGATGGCCAATTCTTGGTGAAACAATGGAATTCTTCCATAGATGCTTGGAGGGAAGGCCAGAGAAATTTATAAAAGACAGAATGGAAAAGTACAAATCTCATGTGTTGAAGACTTCATTGTTGGGTGAGAACGTGGCCATCTTGTGTAGCCCAGCAGGGAATAAATTCTTGTTCTGTAATTCAAATAAGTTGGTCACAACTTGGTGGCCCAACTCAGTGAAAAAGCTACTCGGGCCATGCATAACCACTATTGGTGGGAATGAAGGAATGCAAATGAGGAAGATGGTACTGTATTTTTTCAGTCCTGATGCATTCATAAAGCTTTATAGTAAAACTATAAATTTAGTAACTCAGCAGCATATCAATACTCACTGGCAAGGTATTTATTCATCATTAATTTTCATTCAATTTTGAATTTGAGTAATATGAAGAAGTGAAGAACAAAATTGATTACTGAATTATTTAAATTTCAGGTAAAGAGGTGGTGAATGTTCATCAGACAATCAGATTATTCACATTTGAAGTTGTGTGTCGTGTACTTACGAGCATTGAAGACGAAAAACGGATTGAAAAGCTAGGTACCCTATTGAATATATTTGTAAGGGGAGTAATCTCAGTGCCCATCAACTTGCCTGGAACAAGATTTTATAATGCTAAAAGAGCAATAATTTCTCTTAAGAAGGATTTATTAGCGTTGGTTCGAGAGAGAAGATTGGCCTTGGAACAGAAAACTGCTTCACCTTCACAAGATCTTTTGTCACATTTGATTGCCTGTCCAGATGAAAACGGGCTGTTCATGTCAGAATCGATAATCGTAAATAATATAGTACTGCTACTTTTTGCTGGTTATGACACTTCTAGCGTTGCAATAACTCTGGTGATTAAGTATCTTGGAGAACTTCCAAAAATTTATGAAAATGTACTAAGAGAGCAACTAGAAATTGCTTCGTCAAAAGAAGGTGAATTTCTGCACTGGGAGGATATACAGAAGATGAAGTACTCATGGAATGTAGTGTCAGAAACTATAAGACTATACCCATCAGTACCAGGTGCTTACAGAGAAGCATTAGTGGATTTAAAGTTTGAAGGTTATGACATTCCCAAAGGATGGAAGGTACAAAAATTTGTCTTACAATATTCGTAAGCAAGTAAAGAAATGGAATGAAAGACACTAACATATGATCTTGTTTTCTTTTTTTTAACAGTTATTCTGGAGTGCCCCTTTGACACAAATGGATCCTAATTTCTTTCCAGACAGCACAAAATTTGATCCGTCACGATTCGAGGGGGCTGGGCCTGTTCCACATTCTTACGTTCCATTTGGAGGGGGGCCTCGGATGTGCTTGGGAAAAGAATTTGCTCGACTTGAAATACTTATATATCTACACAACATTGTTACGAGATTTAGGTGGAATTTGTTGATTCCTGATGAGGAAATAGTATATGACATAAGTCCTACCCCAAAGAAAGGACTTCCAATTCGTCTTCACCCTCATAATGCTTAAGACGATAAACCTCTTATCATCATATAAAGCGACTTAAATAAATTGTTGTGCCTTGTTGGTAAGTTGAATCCAAATGTATTGGATGCAGAGCGGTTGGAATTGTAATGCACTTTTCTTAAGTCAAAAATATATTTTAGTATGTTTAATTTTGCGTTGCACAATAACATTATGCATGAAAGGAACACGAGATCAAACTCGTTGGTTCTCGAAAGAATGTCGAGAGAGATCAAAAAGAAATTTGAACAACACTCCAAAAAGTCTTCCGAATTTTATTAATCAAAAGCTCACGAAACAAGCGAAAAAATATTGAATAATGGAGTTATTAAATAGCATAGTAGTCACTATTCATGAATAGTGGAACTCACACACAGGAGTTACACGATTCTTGTGAGTTGCGTCATTGGTGGAGTCCAAGGATGTAGAAATACTTGGGTAGGCACCGTCTTAATTGTGCGACCTCAAGTCCTGAGGTGGCCTCACCTCATTGGGTGAGGTGGGCCACCGGATGATGTGACGGCTCCTTATTGGACGGTCGCATCATGTACCCTACACTAGAGTGATACATTGAAAAAAAATTCATTAATAACTATTAGAGAGAGAGAGAGAGAGAGAGTATAACTTTTGATGTCTATATTAAGAATCAAATCATTTTTCAACATGTTTAAGTCGTATATATCACATTAAGAATTAAAGCCAGAAGGCCCAGAACACTGCATTGCCACCTCTTTCCACAACTAGGCTGCCGATTGCCCTATTAGGCCCAATACCAATTCTCCCATTTCGTCTTGTAACGAATGGCCTCTTTTTCTAAGCCCATATTACTTGTTGTTTAGGCCTGGGGAGGTAAAGTGCAGGCTTGTCGAGTAGGGCACTGAGATTAATCGGCCCTCACGGCACCGAAATGAACTGAATTATGTAATACGGTTCACTGCATGATTGTGGGCAAACTCAGCATGACTCCACGATTTCATGTGTTTGACAATCAAACTATTCAATGAAAATTCCTATAGAATTTCCTACAAAATTTTGAATTTTACTCACATGGGGATGGGCCTTATGTGAGTAAAAAATTGATTTTTCTACCTACCCACCCACCCTGATGTGTCTATCCTGTATAGGTACAAAAATTCAAATTCTTATACCTATAGCAGAACTCCTATTCAATTGATGGATGTTTTTACGCGTGTGCTATCTCTATTGTGCGTTGAATCTCTTCCAACTATGCTACACAAACTAATAACTAATATCACTACTCTTTTTTTTTGTTTCCTTTTCTATTTTTTAATATGTTCTCATCGTTTTACATATTTACATATATCATGGTCCAAGTCTCACGACTACACATCCACATTAGTGGTCTCTTCACCACTTTACAACACTCGATAATTCATTCGCGATGAGTTAGAATGAAATGACAACAATATATTTAGTATTCGATACTGAATCAAACAGAAAAATAAAATACGTAGAACTTAAATTATTTTCATTCTTTAATACTATTTCGTAACATAGAAAAAAAACTTATCAAACAAGTGACCAGCATTAATATTGCTTATATTTTTCAAATCTGAAATTCATTTTTCTTGCGAGATTCCTAAACTGAAAATCAAAACATTCAATATCTTGAAACGGATGGGGCCTCACGAACGAGTGATTATTACCATATAATCATTTTTTATTCGCATATTCTAAGAGATCTATTACAAATATTATTCACTTATTTCATCGTACATTTCTATTTATCTGTATTTAAATCGATTATAAACACTTTCAAGGTCAGATAAAAAAAAAAGGGTAAAAGTAGGTGAGATTGACGTATAAATTAGGGTGGCTTGGTGCTAGCCATTTATGGGCCCCAAACAGTGACAGCGCCCATTCCAATGCCTCATGGAAATCAAAACCACATTTTTCATGAATTGATTTTCTTGATATAAAATTGTGTGGTTGTGCATGGTAGAACATGGTAAGTAGACATTCTTTTCAAAAGGCCCTACTTTCATTTTAGCATTTAGTAGTATTATATGCATATATAATCACATCAATCTCATGAATGGTCAATGCACCTGTCAAATTAAGAAATCCATCAGCTTTTCAATTTTGGTGCTTTTGTGAGAATTACTTTCATAATTCTATTTCTTCTCTAGAAAAAATCCCAAACCATAACAAATTTGAATACAAAACAAAAGCTCTACTATTCAAATAGGACTAGGGATAAAGGATTTAAACAGGGGCTGAGGAGGATGCACTTCAACCCTGATTCAATCAAGAGCTGAGGTGCATCCACCTCGCCCTGTTTAAATTCCATGTCTCCTGTCCTGTTTAAATAGCATTAATCTACAAAATAATGTCTATAAAAAAGCATGATAAATGACTTTATATAAAATGACATTGACATCTCCAAGTAGGTCATCTTTTGGAGGTAAGAAATAAAAATTATATTATGGGAAATTCTATTTGCACAGGAGAGGTTGACAACCGAGGTTGTCACATGCGTGCGGGGCCTGTATGATTAAAAAATTCAAAAAAAAAAAAAAAAGTAGACCCTCCTATTGTGAGTGTCGATCAACTTGACAACTTGTATGTCAATCATTTGATTGTACAAATAGCATGGTTGTTATATTATAGATCCAAATTAAAATATTTTAGGCCATGTTTGACAGCCTAGAAAATGGGTGGAAAAAGAAAATGTTTTCCAACTTTAACCAATTAAAGGTGTTAGATAGCACAAATTTGCCTCACTTTTGTTTTTCCCACCTTTTTTTAGGTACAACCTTTTGATGCACATTTGTTTGATTTCGTTTTCCCACCTATTAGGTGGGAAAGCAATTTCCACCTTTTTTTTTTTTT